GGAATGCATCCGCTTGTGAGTAGATGGCCTTAAGCAGCCCCACCTTTAAAAAGAGGCTATTTGCTGTATACTGTGACCCCTTGGTGTCCATATGGTTCTCGGTGCTGAGAGGGCCATGCTGATGGGTGAGGGGTGCGTATGAGTGGAGAGGAGGAAAGGGATGGAGGTAGCAGCTACCCAGTGAATATTCATTTAATGTGAAGTTAGTCTAGATAACATGTTGCTAAGCCTCAAGGCTGAAGCCCAAATAGCTCTTGTAACCTCATAACCTGGTCAGGAGCTTGCTGCCCAAATGTATGTGTGCTGGCAGAAATCCTTATAGCCGCTAATGCTGTAGAACTGGTCCCCGACGTCCCTGCAGCTGCCACCCAGGCCCCTGGGCCTCCTTCTCTCCCATCTCTGGGACCAGTTCCTCTTTCAACGGTCACTGTAACGCTGCTGAGGCTTGCCATGCCCATTGGTGGTGGTCAGAACGCTCAGCTGGCGCTTGGGCATCCTCTCCTCATCCCTCCATATCACCTCTCTGCCTTCCTGCTGGGGCTGTAGGCTCACAGCCCCAGGAGGCCAGGGCAGAGCAGAGGGGACAGCAGAGCTGCGACACCATAAAAACACGCACATTTATCTCACCGGAGACTAAACAAAACTTGCAGTAACCAAGCTGCAAGTATGTTCTTGTCACTGCAGAGATGCCAAGGAGTGCTAGCTGCTTGGCCGAGGCAGACTGGCCATGACACCAAAGAATTCGGATTCCAGAAGACGAGTTTTCCAAGGGCAGGAGATACTCTGGCTTTCTTTCATTGACTTTTTTAGTCTTTGCAAGCCTTCCCCAGCTGCCCTCGAGCTGATTGTTTGGCTGCCGTTCTCCTCAGTGTACAGGGGGTGACAGAGTTGGCGACCTTGGAAGCAGGACATGCTGCTGGTGCTAGAGAAGACATGGCTATGTTTGCCGATTTAAAACCCCAAGGAGTGTCCAGAGGAAGGTTTCCACTGGTCCAAACAGGCTCTTTGGGAAACCTGGTGTGCTGGGGCAACAGGCTCTGCCCTACATCCTCCCGCTGAGGTTGTCACTGGAGGCTGCTGGGTCTCTCCTGGAGCAGTTATTCCAAGCAGTTTTATCTGGTCCCTGTGGCAGGTACTCCAAGCAGTTTGTCCCCATGTCCCTTGGCTGAGCATGAGAGGGGACGTGTCATCCTTGGCATGCTCAGCAGAGCAGTTTCCATCCTGCACCTGGCAAAGCTGCTGCGCCTCGGGCTTTTGCAAGCCTTGTGTGTGTGCTCCTTGGCGGGGCTCCTGCCTAGCACCCTGTCCCTCTGGGCAGGGGGAGAGCTCTGCTGGGAAACTTCCCTGGCTCAGGCCGGCAGCAGGACAGTGCATCCGTGGTCCTGGCATGGGGCAGGGCTGGAATTGTGTCTCATCTGTCCTGCCTGGAAAATGGCGGCCAAAAGCTGCCACCGCTGTGGAAGGTTGTGGCAGTTTGGAGCACCTCCCTGCCCTGATCCCTGGGGCTGGTGCTGCCCACGTGGCCATCCTGAGGGCTGGCACTGCTGTGGGGAGGCCAGGGCTCCGTGTCTCTCGATTCCTGTGCCCGTTCCTCCATCCCATCGCTCTATGTTCTTCCCTCGACACTTCAGGCCGCTTACTATGCCAAGGCATGGTCACGTTCTGCCCTCCCCGAGCTCTGACTCGCCTCACCATGCGGCTTGGAGCGAGATTGTTGCTTTTGTGTTTTCTTATTAATCTCTCTGTGCCTCAGTGCCCCATGTGGGGAAAAAAAAAAAAGGGGATGGACCCAGTTCTGGAAAGCAATTTGGGAGCTCTGCATGCAGTGTGGTGCTACGCTTTCCTGGGTGTTTCTACATATCTAGCCATTAATGCTTTTGTTCCCATTCAGCAGCTGCACCGGGAAGGTGGAAGTGATGCTTGAATCTCTTCGAGGAAGTAGAGCCTTTTTTCCTTAAAAAAACCCAAACAAACAAACAAAAAACCCGAAACAAAACCCAAACCAGTTGGCAGCACTTACTCACCCGCTGTGGTCCTGGGGGCTAGCGCTTGTAGCGCTGGGCTACTGCTGATCCACCTCACCGGGGGCCGCGCCGCGCCCAGCGTGCGGCAGGCAGCTGGGGAGGGGTCGCTTCGTTATTAAATGACTTTATTAATTAATCGGGGGTG